TATAAATTTGTTTAATTTTTATCAACTGCAAAATAAATTGTTTAATAAAGCATGACTCCGTTGGAATTAAAAAAAAAAAAAAAAAAAATTTAAATAAACAATAAATTTCACAAAAATAACATTTTAGCATTTTAACATTTAGTGTTAAATTTGCCATTCAGCATTTAACAATGTGTTTACATTTACCATTTAGCACTTAATATTTTTTTTTTTGTATTATTGTATTTCATATTTTTTGACATATAAACATACTTATTTTCCACACATTACAATGTGTTTAAAAAATGTATAACCAGAGTTTTTGTATAACTTTCGATTTGTATTTACTGTGATTCAAGAATTATCTGAATTTGGAATTATAACAAATGATTGGGAACCAATTAGAAAAAAAAAACAACTCGATGCATTTAAGTCATGTATGAGAATTCAATTTAATATAATATCAATTAGACATTATTTATTATTATTCATTTTGTTAATAAAGTGTTATTATAATGGAATAAATAGAATTGCTAAACTTTAAGGTGAATAAATATTATAAATACTAAAAACTTTTTTTAATTACACTGATTTAAATAAATATTATTGTACAATTTTTTAAACGTCAGGGATGATTATTGTTGATCCTCCACTAATATTGCTGTTGCGATTTGGATCATTAGTAGTTTCTCCTTTTTCGGGGTCACGATTGTTAGCTTCTGAAGATCCTCCAATAATTTCTTCAAATTCCTTTTGGGTAAATTCCTGCATGTTATTATTTTCATGTCGAAAGCCCAGAACAAAGTTAGCCCATTCAAAGAATGACAATCTTTTCATGGATATATCATAATCATTTTTTGAAGTAGGTGAAGTAGGCGTATCAGATGTATTATATTTTGGAAGTGATCCTGAACCAGCAGTCGCGCGATTCGTGGGGGAACTAGGGTAACTCGATTTTTCACTTGTAGATTTACTTGATCCTTTTTTATTTTGATTTTCACCTTCGATTACTTTAACAATTTCAGCATCTACGGTCACAACATATGACATTAGAATAAAGAAAAATGTATTAAAAAAGGTTATAGCTACAAGCTGATCAGGGATGGATCCAATACGTGTACTCCTAGTTACAAGGACCACAACTGTTATTAAATTTAGTCCAAAAGCCACTGCCAAACGAACAAAATTCCAATACATAACTGCAGTAAATAGTGTTCGTTTCGTTTTCCTACCCACACTTGATCCGAGACCTGCTGCATTCTCGTTGGCAATACGAAGGACTTGTACTAATCTAACCGTAATATATATATCAATCAAAAAGTCTATGACTACTGTGATTGTTTCTGGTATTTTTAACCTGGTTTGATCAATTATACACCAATTTCGAAGTGGGCGTTTGGATAGAAATACTCTTACGAAACCAAATGTTGTAAGCTGTATCCATAAAAAAAAATAAGGATAAATAAATTATAAGATAAAAGTAATAATATATTTAAGTAACTTTACATACGTGAGCTATTGTTCTTGTTGATAATAAGATGATGCTCGCCCATTTATCTAATTGCGAACTTTCAATTTGTCTTAAACGCCACAATAAAAAAATTGCTAAGGATGTTCCATAAAAAAATGTTACAATATGTGCCATATAACTTATAAAATGGCAACCAGATAAATCTATCCAGGTAGGTGCAAATGCCAATACAAATCTGAATAAGAAAAGTATCATGCAACTAAGATTCAAGATAATTTTGTTGATATTAGAAACATTTGATTTACGAGCTTTGTATAAAACGATTGATATGATAAAATTATGTAAAGATACCTAAATTTAAAGAAATAAAAATGTAAGATAAAAAAATATTTATGTCAAAACATTTGTTGCGTAACTTACTATCACAGCAGCTCCATATAAAATACCAACAAAAGCATCGCTTTGATAAGTGGTAAGCATTTTAACAAAAATAAAAAAAAATGAATTTTGAACGAATAGTAAATTTTGAAAGGCAATTAACAAAAATCAAATAGAATCGGTAGAAAAATAAAATGATCAGAAATTTATTAGTTTATTTGTCATAATACATATTATAAAATATTGTTTTCTAAAAATAATTAATTGTTGAATCAGTTTAAAATTCGCCGAACAATCATCTACCACAATCTTAATTTCATAGAAATTCCATTTCGGAGAAAATCTTATCCCAAAACCATTGCTTTTTTTTTGTACCAAGGAAAGAACTCCAGTAAAACATAAATATACCATATATGTTATTTGATGAAAAGTAATTCGTTCCAAAAGTGTCCCTGTGATCTGTAAATTTCTTGAAGATCATGTCATGTGCATTTTTGATTAGATAAAATATAAATAGCTAAAAAAAAAATTTTAAAACGAATATTCATGTCTCGAGAAATAAAAAAAAAATAAAGGATTGTCCAGGTCATTATTTTCAAACGTACAACTGATGATCCGTATATTCTCGTATATTCTGTAAACGAAAAATGAATCACCTGTTTCTAATGTTAATATTTATGTAAAGAATTATTAAAACATTTGATGAGAAAAGTAAATTCTCATTTATCGTAACATGTCTCACAAGACTATTCTATTTTCGGTTTAATTAAACGTAAGAGAGATGCTGTCATTCAAGACAAAATAGTGAAATAATATATTTAGGTTTTACATGATTGTGTATTATTACGATTAAATTAAATATACATAATGTGTAAGCATCTTTAAAAATAATAAAGATTTACACCAGTTTTCAGAACGACAATCTTACTATTTTTGTCCCGAATGGATTCCCGAAATAGACCTTTGATAACAGATTTTTTGTGCATTGCTAGCTAAATATCATCACAGGTGATTGTCACCAACCACAGGGCAAAATTTCATAATCCTTCTATCAACCCTAACACTAACTTTGCCCACGTAAATTTAATTTTGCCCAGTGGTGACAATCACCTGCGGTGATATTTAGCAATTTTAGATATTTTTTCGTGGATAAAAAAATTACTTCATTAAAATTTTTTTTAAAATGATTCCAATTATCAAAATGATGCTTTTTGTTTGGAGCAGCTGTAATGGTAGATTATCTCAACTTGAGATGCAGAAATTACATTCAAATGCAACTTTTTTAGCTTACATTTTTATTTCTTTCCATTTAGGTATTTTTACACAATACTTTCGTCTCTTTCTTTTTATACAAAACATGTCAATCTAATGTTTCTTATATCAACTAACATTAGTAGCTCGATATTGTTCGATACCATTAAGCAGATGATGATGGAATTTACGAAACATTCGTTGTATTAAGTAAAATGTGAAATTCGATTAAGTTACACTTGGGATACAGGTTATGGTAATCATCTATAATAAAAGTTTTTGCTGCTAAAAATTTAATATTAATTGATTAATTTTTAAAATTATTAAAAACGTCTCTTGTAGAACGACGTCTTGATTATGAAACGATGGCCGTAAAAAATGCGATGACCTCCAAAAAATAACTGGATACTCTCGAGCAATATTATACAGATGGATTTCCCAACTCAAGAAAACAAGTAACGTCAAGCAAGAAAAACGTTCAGGCTGACCAAGGCGTCTTAACGCTACACAACGAAAACACCTTGGTCTGATTGCGACGGAGAATTATGTGACAAGTTTGAAATAGCAGAAACTCTCTATCACATCTATTCTAGCCTTAATATTGCACCAAGAACAGTTCGGGAGAACTTCAAAATCTTGTTTATAAAGATTGTGTTCTCCGCACTGTTCCTTTATTAAAAACACAACCCCTTGTTAATCGATAAGCTTGGGCATGGTTGCATTTGAGGCGACGATGGAATAATACAATTTTTTTAGATGAAACAACTTTCAAATGTTTCGGAATACAACAAAGGCTTCACAAATCTGGCAACTCGTGCAATAGTTAAACCCATATGAGGTTCATGTATGGGGGGTTTTTGTTCCAATCGAACTGTTGGGTTTCACATGTTTACTAGAATCATGGATAGTGAGGTAATATTTTAATTGAAAATTTATTTGAGCAAGCAAATAAAATGCTTGCAATAGATGGACATTCCAACAGGACAACGATCCTAAACATAAAGCAAAACTTACAACTGCTCTTCTTCAAAATCGTTGTCCTCAACTTCTTGATTGGCCATCATCATCTCCGGACTTTAATCTTATTGAGAACTTGTGGGAATTAATTCAACAAAAAAAACAGCAACGCAAGAAATTTTTATGTCAATTGTTAAAGAGGAATGAGATAATATTGATGTAGAGTTGTGCTTTAAATTAGTAGAATCAATGAGGCGACGTTTATAGTTAGTTATAGAGAGTAAGAGTTATACAATTGAGTATTAAAAATAGTATATTTTAAAATATGCGCGAGTTGCGCCTAATCATGTGAGTCAGTTTTCCGCCAGCACTGTATTCAACTGCGCATTCCGTAATCAAGTAGCGATTAATATATTTGTGCGAGATCAAAAATGCAAAGTTTTGATTGTACTATATTTTTATTCTCCTGAATCATATATTCTTATTTGTTTTCCCTTGGGACATGATGATAATTCAAAATTAAAATGAATCGAGTTAATTTATTACTGTGCATATATATATTGTTAATTGATTACATTTTATTATTTTAGATGAATACATGTGGGGTTAATCATTAGTGCATTGCATAAAATTTTTATTTTTTCGTTTCTTCTTGGGTAAGACTTTCACTTTATCAATCTCGGTGTCAACATTACCCAATTGGGCAGGAACACTTGTAATCTAAGACATTTTATTCTCTGTACTCGAAATAATCATGTCCTAATATTCAAAAAAATATTAACATTAGTATCACCGTTTATGTGACAATTATTTCATGCTAATCACTTACCCACATTTTCCACAAGTTTGAGGCGAATACCGGCAAATCCTTGAATAGCAAAAATGTGATTGTCGGATAAGAGAACACTTTCTCAAGCTTAAAATAGTATTTACGCGCAAATGAAATGCACATACTGTATATGTAGAACTTGCAATCTGTGATTTTATGAACAGGAAAATATTAGTATATGTTTTATAATAGATTTATCTGTCCAACTCATAAAACTTACCATATACTCGAACGTCATATACTTTTATTCTTCTAAACTTTCTGAAATCACCTGAATAATGAATTTTGAAGAAGTTCAGGATAATTTTAAGCAATTTTGCAGTTTTTATTCTTATCACCGACATAATGAGTATGGTCAAGATGTGATGGGGATCCCGAAAACCCATGGTTGAGAACTCTAGGCATAGCTTACCATTGACAATTTTATGCATCGTCGATCATTATCTTTTAATGACTGGTTGAACAAATAGCGAAAGCCTTCAAGGTACTTTCGCCCCTATTGAAATACAAACCGGCTAAAAAACAATATCTACATAGGATACTTACAAGATCTTCATCAGTTGCAAGGCATGCTTTTGTGTTACCATCTATGGCGCAATCTTTTAGCATATTCTAAATGAAATATACGTTCGAAATAAACAAAAAATTAAGTCTGTTCCTTTCACAGTAGCACCTACTTACCACATTTTTCATGATATTAGCTAGATATTGTTTTACTCTTTCTGCCTGAACATCACGCTCAGTATCTTGATCATCTGAATCCGAAGTAGGGATAGAAACTGAAGATGAAGTGGAAGCAGATGCCAAAAATCTTTCTATAGTATTAATAATATCATTCCAATTTTCTTGAATATCTTTGGTGCTTTTGTTGAAGATGAATTGATTGTATCTAAAATGTTATAACGCATCAAACTGTAAATGAAGTTATTAGTAAAGAGCTGTATCTAAGGTATATAAACATATTAGCAGGTCAATATCAGAAGATATACATACATACTCTTGCTTGTGTATTTCTTCAATGTATTGTGATGATTCGCGCCATTTTTCCATTGCGACCGGATACATACAGTACATTGTTATTAATTAATTTATTATCGACAATATAACAAGTGTCTTCTTGTAAAAGACTATCTTCAAAAACATCATCCTGTGGCTCTAAGGTAATGACAGGTTTCTCGTTATCGTATTCATTATTTACGTTTTCATGAGCTTGTTCATGTTGAAAGCGATGAGATGCGTCATTATGCATGGGAGAAAATAGTCTATTTTTTTGTCAAATTTTCTTCATAGTTCTGAAGTAATATAGTTCATTAAGAACAAATCGCAAAATAATTAGTTCCACAAATCATTACACCTGGCTAACATAATCTTCAGATTCATCGCCCTAAGATGTTGCAATTCAACCTCACCTTTTTTGTTAGAGTCGAAGCTCTTTCAGTGCTTACTGCTTCTTAACCTGAAGAAAATACTTTTTGTAATCTTTTTTTTTTCTTTGTAAATTTTCACAACAGAAACTCACCTAAACTATTTATTAATTTTTTAACGAAATTTTTATTTAATAAATATTAATTTAGATTTAAAAAACAAATAGTATATGTCTCAAAGCTATCATAAAAAATATTATATATTTTTAAATAAAAATTAAAAAAAAAAAAAATTAACCTGTTAAGAAACGAATCATCAATTAAAAATTCATAGAAATCTCGGATTAATCAATTCGTTTATCGAAAGAGGAACAAAAAAAAATGAAGATAGGTAATATTTTAAGATATTTTATTAATCATTTATTATTTATTTTATTTTATTTACTTATTTATTTGTTATTATTCTTCTTTATTATTATTCAAAATAGAATGCGAAATGCGAATTATGTTTAAATTAATTCAATACTCTTCTTATTAAAAATCCACAAATTATTACAAAATTGATTTCCAATTAAATGGTAATGATAATTATCTAAATGAAATAATTTCTTTATTATAGGCTATTGAAAAATGAATACAATACTATTACTTATTTATATTTATAAATTCGAATAAATATTCTCATGACTCAAGAAATAGGGAAAAAAATAAAGTTTTGTCTAGATCATTCTTCTGCTTACAAAATTACTTTATTCGTACTAAAGAGGACATATATTAATTTGAAAAAAATATAAAAATAATTATATAAAATATTAATAAATCTAACATATAATAAAATAATAACTAAATATAAAATATTATACACATTATTATTGTGCGATATAATGTCATTCTATTAATCATAGTAAATAGTAAAATACTCATAGACTATGGTCAATCTTAAAAAAAAAAGTACAGTAAAAACATCAATAATTTTTGATTTTTAATAACTGCTAACGAGTTTCTTTTTGAAGAATTCATCTACTTTGGTTAAAATTTAAACTTGTAAAAATCTATTGTTAAAGTTTTCAACCAAATAATTTTCACAATCAAAATCATGATTCTGATAGAGATTTTGATAATTTCCAGATAATAACCGATAACGCAATAAAATTGTATATTAGTAATGCAATAAATAATGTTGATTTTAAAATATTTTTTTTCTAAAAATAATAATTTCAATTTTTAATTCTTAAAAATTGATGTAATTTAAATTAGAGATATAAAAAATCAGTTTAATAATTTTATTAAAGTATACATGTTCCCAAAATTGATTTCTGATTTTAGAGTTATTTCATCTTTTTGAGATTTTTGAGATATCTATTCTATATATGGAAATAAAAAAAAATGCCTAGTTTAATGTATTTTCAATCAAAGAATTTATCTGGGCAGTCAAAAAATTTTGGGTTTTAAGTAAAATAATTTCATCTTTTATTTCTATGAAAATTGTTTCAACTTTCAGGACCCAATATATTTTGACTTACTATGATAGGCTATTTTGTGTGTAAGTATATAGAAGATATAAAATTAATAAACTGATGAATAAAATCTAAATTATAAATACTAAAATATATATAATAAAAAAAAATAAAATTTATTATTTTATAGAGTATATGACTTTAAATAGTTTTCCTAACAATCTTAAATACTTCATAATTGATGATTGAAAAGTATTTTGATGATGATCTTATAGGTTTTTTATAACCTTCACCATAACTTCTACAGAAGCAACGATTGTCTAAAGTGAAATTGGATTTATCACTTTCCATCCAAAAATCACTAAAACATGGACCCAATTGTCTTTGACCATTTTTATATACATTTAGTATTGCATATTTTTTATTTTTCACTCTGCTAAGAATTGAATTTTGAATATTACCATTTTTTAATGAGAAAATGAAACTATCATTTGTTGCCACCCATTTAATATCAATATTACTATTATCCCATGCTAAAGGATTATAACCTCCAATAATTTCATCTGTTCCCTTAACTTTTACTAAAACAACCGTACAAGCGTGATTATGGCAGATATTCCAAAATGTTTGTGGTGCAAATCCATCTTGAGTTCCACGTAAGATTAATTCAAATTTATATGGAATATTTGTTAAAGAATATGCAGTTGTTTTACGATCAATCCATGCAGAAATTTCTGCTGCATGCTCTTCAGAAATGATAGTCGAAAAAGATTCTTTTGGTTCTTCTCCACGAGGAGGTAATTCTGTAACCAAAACTGATCTTGGCGGCAAAATAATTGATTTTACTGGTCGTTCAGGAACTATTAGATGCTGATTGATATCTTTCCAAAGTTGTTTATCAAAAATCTTTTTATATGGTTCAATTCTATCCAAGACTTCGATACCTGAAAGATGAAAATAGCGAATATGAGGTAGACATTGTTGTAAAGTAGTCTTTAATGTAAGGAAATTTTCCTTTGTCCAATCTTCGCGGTTTGTAGGAAGAGCAGAAGTTTGAGCAATTCCCCACTTTATGACACAATCCCAAATTTTAACCTCTTCGATTTGCAAATCATCTCGTTTGAGAAGGGACAATAATGCAGATTCTTCGAGAGAAGTAAAATTATCAGCATCAAAAATAAGGTTTGGATGCTTTACAATAATATCATTACAAAAATTTTCTAATTTTTTAAAATTGTTTCGACTAAAGATAGAATGATAAATAAAAGAAAAATGTGTTTTCAACCAGGAGCCTTTAGTTTCAACAAGAAAAGTTTCTAATTTGTTAGTTAATTCCTCAAGTTCAAATTCATAAGTAGCTGACATCAAATCATAAATAAATCTAGTTTCACAATTCTCTAAATCAACAATTCCTCCATAGATGTATCTAAAAAAATAATAAATAAAAAATAAATGAAATAACAAATAAATAATAAATGAAATAAATTTTTCAATATCAGGAAATAGTATTATATTGTTTTGATGATAACTTACTGAAGAATAACATTAAAAATTTGAGCAGTAATGTTTGACTTGATAATTATTTTAATATTATTTTCATTTGGCTGAATATTTTCTAATTCTCTTCGGAAATAAGACGATCGAAATTTCAATACGTTAGAATGTGCCGTAAACGATTCTTCCTTATTTTTGACTTCAATTATTACATTATAATCTTCTTTATCATTAAGAAGTTCAATAAGATTTTGAGATAACTTGTCAAAGAATTTTAAAGACATTTTTTCTTTTTTGTAAATTTATGTCAAAAAAAAAGATCATAATAACAATGGGTTCATATTAATTTATGCGTTTATTAGTATGACAAGCACAATATTTCTTATTCAAGATTAAAGTGGAACGTTAAAATATTCATTGTGTCCAGTCTTGATTTAATATAATAATTTTATCAGGTGATCATTTGTACTTTTCGTTGTTTTTTCTTTATCAAAGTTAATTCTATTTTATCCATAAATAAAAAAATCTGTATGATTAGTATGTTGTGTATCTTTGGTTATTATTTGGACATTAGAGCAGATACACATTGAATCATAAATATTATATAAATGTGATATGATTGTTTTTTAAAAAAATTTTCTCCTTATTTTTTTAGGCAAAAAATGGTAACTAATTATTGATCATAATTTTAAATCAATTCGGGATTTATATTCATCATTATTAGTTAATCGAATCTGGTGCAAAGTTACTTATACCTATACTTTGGAATTACCTTTAGGTCAAGAATGTTGTATAGATAATAATCAGAAGTTGAAAAAGAAAGCATTATGTATTTGAACTTACTCAAAATGGATTTGATTTATAATCATAACCACCACCTCAAAACACATTTGATTATCCATCATTCACTCGTAAATTTAGAATTAATAATTTAGTGTACAAATTATTTGTCCAGATCAAGATAATAACAATAATAATAAGAACGAAATCACCATCACCAAATCGAAGATATTATTCCACGAGATGCGTAAATTAATAATAAATCTTTGATTATTCCTGGATTCTTTTATATTGGAGAGAGTTCCCAAAAATTTTACTAATCATTTTCGCAATTATTGTGATTTAGTTTGTTCAATTTTTAAGTTTCCTGGTGCCCCCGAAAGTATTTAAGAAATTAGAAAGTTTTATAATAGTAGACATGATCGATTGAATTGTCAATTGTATGAATGAATCATTAATATTAATTTACGATAATATTTTTAAATATTGAAATTATAAACAAAACTTATTAGTGTTCAAAAGCGGCATCAATTTTTGTTAATTATTATCGAAATTTAGATTTTAATTTAATATTTTGGAACAATAAAGAGTCTTCTTTAATTTTTTATTATTCCAAAGGAAATTAACTTCAAGAAATTTATGTTGAAAATTGTTTTGGATTGAATAAATCGGATTGTTTACCCTTGGCTTTATCATTTATTCAATTAAGTGGTTTTTCATTATCTTCATTCGAGAGATGCATTTGATATTAATAGTTATCCTCAAGAATTTATTATAAAATTTAAGAAATATTTGTCTAGATTCAGATCTCACAATTCCATTTGATATTATATTTCAACAATTTTAAATTATTGTACGAAGATTACCAAATTGATTTTACTAAATTTAAGAACAAGTAATGGCAATATTTAATAATAATCTTAATGAATTAAGAAGATTTTCATTCGAGAAGAATTGACGTTAATGAATTATTATGCAAAATGGCCGAAAATGTACCAGAATCACTTGAAACTATTGAAATTAGAATGGAAATATTTAATGCTGATAGTTTAAGAAAATTTTTTGAAGGGTGATGTAAAGGAGGAAGAGATAATAAAAAGATTATTGTAAAACGTATAGAACAAGCGTTATTATTTACATTAAGTGATGATGAA